TATTTTGAGAAGGATGAGGGCAACGAAGGTATAAATGTGCTTGACACAATCGATGTCTGTATGGATTGCAATAAGAGTTGTATGAGGCCCCCAATTAAAATTTTTTTTTTTTAAAGAATTACAGTCTCAGAATCAACTCCAATGGCAGCGAGTTTGGCTAAGTACTAGTTCGATTGGTAACATCTGAATGAGACCTGGAGTTGTTAAGGTCCCTGGGTAACACAAACAGTCTGCTCTCATCCACTAACCTGATGTTGGCAGTCAGAATCCACTCAGCAGCACTGTGGGGAAATGGTCTGACCGTCTGCCCTGTGGAGAGTACAGCCAAGAAAGCCCGACGAAGCAGCTCTGCTCTCTAGCACGCAGGGTTGCTGTGAGTTGGGATTGACCGGATAGCTGTAGATTTGTTTCCCTGGTTTGGTGAGGAAGTAAAAGCCACCTCCCAAGCTCTTCTGAATATAATTGACACCAGAACACTTTCTCATTTAAAAGACCTACCCGAGCAAGGATGTTACCGTGAGGACGCCTGACCCAAGTCATGGATTTTCAGTCACCTCATACGCATGTGAATGCTGGACACTGAATATGGAAGACGGAAGAAAAATTGATGCATGGCATTGGCGAAGAATAGTAAAAGTACTGCAAAGTGCCCAAATGACAAACAGATCTGTTTTGGAAGATGGACAGTCAGATGCTCCTTCAAGGCAAACATGGAGGGACTTTGCCTCAAGTACCTTGGCCGTGTTATCGGGAGAAACCAGTCCCTGCAGAAGAGCCTTGTGCGTGGTAAAGTAGAGGGGCAGCAAAAGGAGGAAGGCCTTCAAGGAGATGGACGGACGCAGTGGCTGCAACCATGGGCTCAGCCATGAGAACAGTTGTGAAGCAAGCACAGGGTCAGGCCGTGTTTGTCCGGTTGGACAAAGGTCAGAACCTACTGGACAACAACTAACAGCAACACAACAACCTGACCCAAAGAAGGATGTTTCTTTTTACGGATCCAGGCACACATCATATATTGTCTGTTCTCAACCTGTTTGCCCTTGCCACCCCTTTTTTTGTTTTTTGACCTCTAGAATATTGTCTTTTCTGGCCAAACCTTACATTTTCACAAGCTCCAACTCAGGGTCACTATGAGTTGAAACCAACTTAATGGTAGCTCAACAATGTCTGGTTAGCTACATTCGCCGTCTCAACACATCATGACCTGTTGTATTCCTGAACGTTTGTAGCAGAAACTTCCCACTTCCTTGGTTTAATCAGATGAAGAGAGAAAATGTAAAAAGCTGAAAGGCAAGGGACGCTTTGGACACATTTTTATGACAGCTATCTTCAAAGACAATAGAGAAGTACCTGATTTGTTTCAAACTTTTGACCTGGTTTACTCCTGGCACAGTAGCTTAACATCCTGGTCTCTGTCTGGAGCTGCATCTTTACCCTTACCCCTGAGCTCCCCTGCCAGATGGTTTCTGGCTGATCCAGGATGCATTTACTGTTACAGGGATCCGTGACATTCCAGGACGTCGCTGTGGACTTCACTCAGGAGGAGTGGGAGCAGCTGGAACCTGCTCAGAAGAGCCTGTACCGAGACGTGACGCTGGAAAACTACAGGAACCTGGCTGCCCTAGGTGAGGTCACTGTCCCTGCAAGAGCTGGCTGATTGGCTCCATTCCCTCACGTGGTGCAAGCCTCCAGACACTCCTTTTGTTATTTCGCTTTGCCTTATTGCATGTCGTAAAGATTATGTTTTTTTACAAATGGAAGGTTTGTGGTCACTCTGCCCCAGCAGCCTGCCGGAGCCATTCTTCTAACAGCACACGCTCATTTTGGGTCTCTGCACGGAGACTTACTTCCAGTGACAGTCACTGTAATACAGAAGTCTGAAGCCAAACCTGTACTATCACCGTGATCTGGCTGTAATCAGTCATCAGGAGACAGAGCCCGTGGTTCCCTGCGCTGTATCCCCAAGTTTTGACTTTGTGGAGCTTGAAATGAGTCGCCTTTTTTTGGTGGGGTGGGGGGGAGTCTAAGGTGATCCAGATTGTTACTATGCTGGCCTGCTAAATGAAAGGTTGAAAGTTCGAGTTCACCTGAAATAGGGTTTCCCAAAGTGGGTGATACCACCCTTTGGGGAGTCCTGGAACAATCCAATGGGTCTGCGAAAGCAGATACGGATACTTGATAGTGGATTGTGAACAGAGGTTTTTAGTACAGAGGTTTTTAATTGACGGGGTTGGAGCACTGAGTAAATTTTTTCCTGAGAAAGGGGCAGTAGGCCAGATAAGTGTGGGAACTTACGGCCTAGAGGAAGGCTGTAAAACCAGTCATTGAAAATGCTGTGGGCACCGACCCGCTCTGACACACACAGGGTTGCTATGAGTTGGAATTGATGCAATGGCTGCTGGAGCTCTCTCAGCGTTTGCCTGAAGCCTCCTGTTTTCAAACTCCAAGGTCTTAACGACTGAGAAGTTGTCCCTGAGTGGCACGAATGGTATGCTTTCAGCTAACTGAAAGCTCGGTGGTTTGAATCCACCCTGTGGTGCCCTGGAGGAAGTCTGGTGCTCTGTTCCCATAAGATGATCGCCAAGGAGTCCCGGAGAAGCACGCTTACAATGAAACGCTCGGTCACCCATGGGTCAGAGTTGCCTCGATGGCAACGGGTTTAGTTGTTAAGTTTAAGGTGGGAGTAGAATCTTAACCTTTTTCTTCCCAGTATCAACTCCTAAGACTTTGGCTTTTCCGATGAACAGGGCATCAACTTTATAAGCCCAAGGTGATCACTCGATTGGAACAAGAGGAACAGTGGATGATGGAAAGTAAGAACCCTCCAGACACCCATCAAGGTGAGAAACGAGCATTTGGACCATTTCAGGTCACTGAAAGTAGTCACTTTTGAGATACTCAACTGCGTTCCCAAAAGCTTCCTCTAGAATTTAGGGAGTACATAAGCCTTCTTAAAAAATTAAATTCACATTTTTGGTTCTATTGTAGAAATGGCTGATTTTTCTCTGAGCGAATGATAACTATGTATGTTAATCATCTGAAAAATTACACAACACAAAAATTACACAATCATCTGAAAAATTACACAATCATCTGAAAAATTACACAATACAAAAATTCACAATCATCTGAAAATCACATAATATGAAGGCCTTTGGTTTGAAGACCCAGAGATAGTTTGATATTGCAAATCTCGACATGCCATTTTGTTTACATAAAAATCCCTCATCCTCTCTCAAACATTTCTGTTTTACTGTGTGAAAACATTCACACAAAATATCTGCCAATGCAAATTCCACATTTACAATTCAATGACATTAATTATATTTTCACATAGTGCCACCGTTATTGCTATTCTCATCCAAAATATTCCACCATCAGTAACAGAAACTCAATGCCTTCTCCACCTCCCATCCTGGTAATGACCTCAATTCTACCTTTGGTTTTTGTATATCTTCTTATTTCATATAGTGAAATCATACAGTCCTTGCCCTTTTGTGACTGATGTATTTCATTCAGCATAATGTTTTCATGCACAGAATTGGATTTCTGTTTACGACTGCATAATGCTCCATTACATGAATATATCACATTTTGTTTATAATTCATTTGTTGATGGGTACTTTGGTCATTCCCACCGTTTTGCCATTGTGAAAAGTGCTGCAATGAACATCGGTGTACAGGTTTCCATTTGCATTTCCGCCCTCACTTCTTCTGGGTGTGTACTTAGGATTGCAATGGCTAGATCAAAAGGTAACCTCTGTTCAACTTTCTGAGGAACTGCCACTCTGTTTTACACAGTGGCTGCCCCAGCTTACATCCCCACCAGCAGTATTCTAATTTCTGTATAACCTCACCAACACTTACTGCTTTGGGTATTTTTCTAGCATTGCCATTCTAATGGAAGTGGGGTGACAGTCTCACTGTGGTATAGTTTCGCATCTCCCTAATGAGGAACCTGGTGGTGCAGTGGTTTAAGAGCTTGGCTGCTAACTGAAAGGTGAGCAGTGCAAGCTTACTAGCCATTCTGCAGGATGAGGGTGAAACTTTCTGCTCCCATAAAGATTTGCAGTGTCAGAAACCATGAAGAGTTGGAACCGTAGACGTTGGAATTGACTCAAAGGTAGTGGAAGCTGTGGTGATGGCTCAATGTTGAGCCTCTTTTGACATGCTCATTGATCATTTCCAACCTGCTGGACTACCTGTTCAAGTCCTTGGTCCATTTTTTTATTGAGTTGGGTTGTGTTATGCTGTGGAACTTACATCTATATTTGGCTATTATGCCCTCATCTAATACATGATTCTAGAAAATGTTTTCCCAATTTGTAGGTTGTGTTTTCACCTTGTTGATAAAATCCTTTGATGTACATAGTATTTAATTTTCTATTAGTAGAAGTCCCATCTATCTATTTTGTCTTTTGCTGCCCAGACTTTTATATTACATATAATAATCTTTCACTGAATACTAGGGCCTACAGCCTATGACCATAGGATGTGTTTTGGACCTAATTTTAGCATTGACATTTAGGTCCTTGATCCATTTTGAAGTGACTTGTGAAGGTGTGAGGCATGTCCCCCTCCTCTTGAGGGCAGCAGTGGTCACATCTTCTCACATCAAGTGCCTAGATTACATGAGAAAACAAAGCCAATTGCTATCAAGTTGATTCCAACTCATGGTGACCCTCTGTAGGATTTCTGAGGCTCTGGAAATATTTACAGGAGCAGACAGCCTCATCTTTCTCCCAAGAAGCAGCTGGTGAGTTTGAACCACTGATCTGTGGTTAGCAGTCCAGCAGTTGCTAACCCAACAGCTCGTCTTGCTTCTTAGAGCCCTCTGAATCCATGCCATCGCATTGGTTCTAACCCATAGCAACCTTATGCACAACAGAAAGAAACACTACCCAGTCCTGAACCATCCTCACAATGGTTCCTATGCCTGAGTCCATGGTTGCAGCCACGGTGTCCATCCATCTCCTTGAGGGCCTTGCTCTCCTATCGTCACTGCTCAGTCTAAATGTAGACCCTGGGTATAGGGAAGCCGCTCTGTGATGGAACAGCTGAGTGTGCACTCGAGTATCTCTAGTGAGTGGGTCTCTCCTGTACAGCAGAGTCACTCCTGGTAGTTGATGCCGGAGTTTAACCTCGAGAAGGCAGATAGGAGAAGGAAGGAAAATAGGCATGGACATGTTGGCCCAGCCACCATACTTCTAGAGAGTAAATGTCTTGAACTCCACTTCCAGGCAAGTAGTAGTTTTATCATTTTAAATAAAAGATTAAAAGTAGGAAGAATTTTGTTAAATCATTTTATTGGGAGCTCTTACAGATATTATAACAATCCATAATTCAATTAAATCAAGCATAATTGTAAGATTGGTGCCACTGTCAGATTCAACACATTTTCTTTCTTTCTTCTTGAGCTCCTTGACATCAGTTCCCCTTTATCCCCTCCATCTCCCATCTTATCCCACAGGAACCCCTATTATTATATTACACTCATTTTGTCCTCAGCGATCTTGTTGGGAAAGTGATTATTATACAGTGCCACATTATTAGAACAAACCATTCTTGTACTGAGGTAAGATTTAATAGAGCTCCAAAGGTCCATCTGCTTCCTTGCTGTGTGTGTATATGTATGTGTGTGTGTGTGTGTGTGTACACACACAAATACACTTATCTTTATATATTTATGTAATTACATAAATACGTATGTATATTTATCCCTATATATAGTTGAGTTAGTTAATTGTGCCAACCTGGCCGATAATCACATGTGGGGCTAATTGAAAGGTAGAGGGATAAATGGGTGGTGAAGCCTCGCCTTTCTAGTTCTTGGGTCTCTTGTTTTGTGATGGTTGCACTGGGTGCAGCTGCCTTAGCAGTTCCCTGCTTCAGCTTGCAAGATTGACTTCCTACAAGACATCCCCAAGGAGAAGCTACATGGACCTATCCCGATGCAGCCCTGGGTGCTGGAGCAGCCGTGTGGAGACCCCTGCTAGTGCTGAGATGCTTCTTCGTTCACTGACTCAGCTTTCCTCCTGCAGTCGGCATCATTGCCTCTGTTTTGTGAGGTGGAGGACTTTGTGGACTGGTGTTGGGTTAATGGGTTAATGTTGGACTTGTGGGCTTGGGCAGCATTGGGTTGGGCTGTTTTCGTGATGCACATTTTCTTTACATAAAACTCTCTTATACATGAGTCGCTGTGGATTTGTTTCTCCATAGTACCTAGACTAATACAGTAGTTATCACTTTGGTAGAAATATTTTTTAAAGAAGCAAATAGCAGGATTTATAGTAGAGTAATCCATAGATTAGGTTAAAAGAACCTGGACTCTGAACTGTTAACTTCGCAAAACAGAGTGGCTTTTTTAAATCTCTGCCACCTCTAAACTCAGACCTTTCTCTGATATCCCTCATTCATCTCCTTTCAACAATGGGTGTTCCAGGATGAGCTATTGCTTTTATGATTATAACATATTTTACAATCTTTCCCTGGTCACTGCTCCTTTCATTCCTGTTGTAGATTTTGCCTTTGTTTCGAGTTGTCTTTGGAAATGCCACTTCTATAGAAAACACGTCTGCTTGACTGTCAGTGTTATTCGGTTGTTCATTATGCATTAATTTCTTTTTCAAAGCATAGGAAGTATTTGCACGTTCTGATTTTTGTTCTTTGTTGTTTTATTTTTCAGATGGGGAGAATAGACCTGAAATCAAAAAGTCTGCATCAAACCAGAATGTTACTAATGAAAAGCAGACCCATAACATAATGGAGAGACTAAAAGGAGACAGTTTCTGGCTCTCGATCTTGGGAGGACTCTGGGATTTTGATTACCATCTAGAGCTGGATCAAGAAAACCAGCAGAGACATTTGGAACAAGCATCTTTCACCCACAGAAAGATCACTCAGGAGAGAAGCCTTGAATGTAATAAACTTGGGGAAAACTATAACCTGAATTCAAACGGTATTATATATCAGCAAATTCCTTCTGAAAGCCAAGTAAATAGGATTAAACCTAATTCCAATGTGATGTACTATCAGGTAAACTATGTCAGGGAGAATCCCTGTGAATATAGGAAATGTGAGAAAAACTTCAATCAGCATCTTCCAAGTAGTCATATTCTCACTGCAGAAAAGCCCAGTGAATGTGGGAAGGCCTTCCACTGCAACTCATCTCTAACTCAACCTCAAATAACCCTGACAGGAGAGAAGCCCTATAAGTGTGAAGAATGTGGGAAGAGGTTCAGCCAGAGGATACATCTCATCCAACATCAAAGAATCCACACAGGTGAAAAACCCTTTATCTGCAACGAATGCGGGAAAGCTTTCCGGCAACATTCATCATTTACGCAACATCTGAGAATTCACACAGGAGAGAAGCCCTATAAGTGCAATCAGTGTGGTAAAGCCTTCAGCCGCATCACATCCCTTACTGAGCATTATAGACTTCACACTGGAGAGAAACCTTATGAATGTAGTTTTTGTGGGAAAGCCTTCAGTCAGAAGACACACCTTAATCAGCATGAAAGGACTCACACAGGAGAGAAGCCCTATAAGTGCAATGAGTGTGGGAAAGCCTTCAGCCAGAGTGCACACCTTAATCAACACAGGAAAATCCATACTCGGGAGAAACTGTGTGCATACAATAAATGTGAGAAAGCCTTAAGCCACCTTCCTTCACTTATTCAGCAGCACCTGACTCCTGGTGGGAAAGTCATATGAATCTATTAAATGTCGGACATTTTCTAGGCAGGCCTTTTCTTCCCATTCATGATCATTCATGAAGAGAAAGCTTGTAAATGAACTCATCAAAGCCAAATAAACTTAGACATTAAACTATTAATATATTATAGCCCCTGAAGTGTGAGGTCCAGCTTCAAGACCCAAAGGGTCCTGAGGAGCAGCTGGCTTTGCAGTTCAGGGAAAACAGACAGAGTCTGAAGGGTGCTCACCTTTCCAGAAGTTAGGAACAAGAAAGAGACCAAATGTATTTTCCAACAGACTTACATAGTCTTAGCCTTAAGACTATGTATGCAGGTCCTGTCAATCAAACGTAACAAGGTGGGAAGTGTCTTAACCTAGATGTCCCTGAGCTCATTTTGGGGGAGTAACCCAAGACCAGTACTGAGGGTAGGCAGAGGGGAGTCAACAGCCCTTTAAGCGAACAGAACAATAGGACTTGTTTGTTCTTAGAGACAGCATTCAGCTGCATAGAGAGCAGCCGTGTGCTTGTAATGGGCATCTTTAAAGTAGCACTATGATGGGGTTATAGTGTGGGGATGATTTTTAGTATGGAGATTGTGGCTGGGAGTCATCTCTATCTCACAACTGTGAGGCCACTAGTGTTGGCCTTCAGGACTCTTAATTGTGAGCATGGAGAATTTGGCTGCATACATTCTCTTCCTGGTCCTCAGTTTCCCACACCAAAGAGTTAAAAATGATAAAGATAATTTGCAAGCAAGATTATGATAGAAATCATATTCCAAAACTTAAACAAAGTTAATTAAATTAGTCTGTAATTACTCGCCTCCAGCGTTATGATATAAAGCTTTTAAACTGTATAAATTTTGATTTATCAAGGCCATGCTGTAGTATAACCAGTCATAGAAATTTGAAATAAACATGAACAAGCAGTGTTACTCAAATGTCAATCAGTTTTCTGCCTTTACCCCTTTGACTATGTTAGTTATTAATGTTTTTCTTTAAAGGAATTTGGGATTTTTAGCCTTTTCCTAAAAATTATTTTTTACTGAAATCATTCATTTCATATGCTAATCTGTTCTAATATATATACAGTTGGAAATTAAATATGCATCGTAACACTTAAGATATCATCATTTGAGAAACAATATGATAGGCTGTGTTGATATTTTTTATTATTCAGAAATTTTTACATTTTTTTCATCCAGTGAGCCCTAAGATCCTGTGAGAAGAGTTTTAGAGGAGGTTTAGGGTCATAGTGATGAATTTTTAAAACACTTATTCAGAGAAATCTACTTTTCTATCTTGTTTTCCTATATTTAAATTTCCCTGTAACAAGCATAGATTTTTTTTAAGCTAAATGGTTATTTATGCTAAAGATATAAACAGAAATAAGTTCCCTTAATAATAACCAGAGCCCCCAAGCCTCCCGCACCATTGTGAGAGGTGAGAAGGCAGAAAGAGAAGAAGAGGTGAGGGGGA